TATTCATTTGGAATCATCATGGTAGAAATGACAACTGAACTGAGACCTTTTAGTAGTCATGAATTTGATCAAAACCATCTATTGCATTCACTGGAATACAAGTAAGTTTATAACAAGATATTTACTACAATTAATGATGAAACACATAATAATCTCAATACAAACCTTAATACATATTAATAACTGTGTACTATATTAGAAATTCTGTAGTCTCCATAGGATGATACCGGAATAATTTATGGAAAAAAATTAAATATGTAGCAGAGCAATTGGAAATTAAAAAACATCAGAAAAAAAAAAAATAGGACGGCAGGTATTGCAAAACGAAAATTTAACTTTGCGTGGCCTTAGTCAACTAAAGAATATAAACTAATTCTGATTCTTACCAGTGATTTTTTCCGTAGGCTATATTCATTCCATGGGCTCCAATACTTCTTCACACCATCATTTGAATAAAGAGTGGTTTCGTTTTGGGTGACAGGAACTATTTTGGGATAAAGTTCTGGTGAGATACAGTTTAATTCTACACCTTCGTATGAGGCTATTTGTTTTCATAATTCAGCCATCTTTTGGAGAAAATGATTTCTGGATTCCACCACATCTTCACGTTCGTGACCGTCAAAATAGATTTTTTTTGAATGAGTTTGGTATTTCCATCCAAGTAATTTTAGCCATCTGCACGCAGTTGATCTACTAATGGTTGTTTTATATATGATTCCAAAAGTAGGCATAATACTACTGACGTGGCTTATAAATTCTGGAATGGCCAATTTAAATTTATTTTTCTCCAAATACTGATTTATTTGAAGCTAAAAACTTTTATTATGTATTAAAGTTTTCGTTTTTATATGTTGGCCACGTTTTGACTTTACTAATTCTTTGCTATTCTTCTATTGATTTGCCCAGGCACGAATACACCGTGCATGCCATGGGCCTTTACCTAAACTCTTAGCCAGAAGGCTACTCACCCCCATCTTTGTGTGCTCTTTCTGAATCAGATTAAGATATTGTCTTGTTGTATTAAGGCATAGATCGACCAATCCCGTTCTCAATTGTGCATTTAGTGATGATAATATAAAATTATCATTACTAGCACTACTATCAAGGGATAAACTATCAACTGTAGGCCGATTTTTGTTGATAAGATCAAGTATTATAGGTTCGTTATTTTTGTGGGAAGAAGCATTGGCCGATTCAACGTGATTTATTTTTCCAATATTTGGGGATAGCTTTTCGGAACTGTGTTTTGCATTTACTTTGTTTTGGCATTTTCAGAGGTATGTATCGAAAAAGTTAAATAAAAAATATAATCTGATCAAGTTTTCTTATATACGTATTTATAACTAATACATATATTGATATTGTCTAGGGAATCAACCAATCTTGATTGATGTTGAATATACGTACATATGTCAGTTATGTATTTGAATGAAACCTACCCAAAGCCAGTTTCAGGTGCATACCGTATCTTTGTATAATAACGCCCACCTGCACATCATTTCGAAGCTATGCATGTTATTTAGAATTATACGTACAATTTTCGAAATAATGCTCATTGGCATTATTATGCGAAAATACGGTATACGTACTACGTATTGAGGCAGGATGAGGTCTTGAAGAAAATATAAATGGACATTGTCCATTATGCCAGTAGATTGGCCATCTCTGTACGCCAACTATGACAAGGGTCATAGTCCAGCACTGGCTTCAATAGAGTCCGCAAATGGGGTCAATGGAGCTCTGAATGAAACCAATGGATGCCATTCATTAGCTCCATTTGTGGGCTCCATTAAAGCAATAAAAAATTTAATTATGCAGAAAGTTTTATATATGAGACCCGGGTCTGTTCATTCCACCAATTTTTAAACCCTTTAGTGGACCGGGTCTACGTAGTACTCACCCAGAGGTTATACATAGAGATGGGTTTCATGCGCATTTTATCCCATCTAAATTTTATACGTATATGTAGAATAATTAAATTATATATAATTTAGACCAGGGAGCATATTTTTGGGCGGAATTAAGGAATATGGATGCAAAATTCTCGAAAAATTCCAAAAAGAAAATGAATGAGCATAAAAAAAGAGCAAGATTTGGGTAAAAATTTAAGCACATATCCGATATTCTCCGAAGGGAAAATATAAATTTCAAAAATTATATATATCATGTGCATTTTACATATAATTTTTGAATTATGATCTCCAACACAGTTGGCCAATAGCTTTTAGAAACTTAAATTGTTAATAACTCTTGGTTTTTTCTTTTTTAATATAATAGGAATGTTATTGAAGCACTAGTCAAAATCAAGTCATGGTATAATCGGTCTGTTTGCAATCAAGCTTGTTATTTCTTATCTCACTAATTTTATTCTTCTAATATAGATGAAACTAATTCGTTTATTAGTTGTATTTGTGTCTTTATTCCTTTCGATAATTTAATTGTGCTTTGGGCAACTTTAATGATAGATGAGTTGGAGCTGGGTTTGGAATAGAATTGAAAGACTAGACGGATATTGTTACAAATATAAAACTGGAGTTGAAAAGAATGAAAACAAAGCATTCTTTTTTTTTTTTTTCTGGTATTAAGGTGACCTCTTTAGCCAGGGAACGTTTTATTAGATAGTTATGTTTTTCAATTACAGTAAGGGTACATATAGCCACACATGCACCTTTTGAGTGC